TTGTGCTCTTTTAAAGCCCTCTGGATGTTTTGTAATAACATTAAGACTAATGACAAATGAGGCTGCACCTAATAATACAACTTCCATATGCACGGAGTTAAAACCTACTTGGACAAAGGGGAAAATAGGTAAATTTAGGGGCTGAGGAGATAGTGCCAAAGATAAGGTGCTTTTCTTGCAGGACACTGGTCTTGGGCTCTTAGGAATCACATGTGGCCCCATGAGTGCCTCCAGAAGTGACCCCTGAGCACAGAGTGAGGAGTGACCCTCCCACCCCTACATCCCCCAAATAGAGGCTGAAGTGATAATACAGTGGCTAGGGCACTTGCCTTGCACACGACTGACCCAGGTTCAAATCCTGGCATCCCATATGGTCCCCTGAGCACTACAAGAAGTGATCCCTGAGCACAAGGCCAGGAGCAAGTCCTAAGCACTGCTGAGTATGACCCCCCGCCTAAAAAAAAAGACAAATCTATAATGAGCATGGAAAAACTCCAGTGTTCCTCTTCTGTCAGTTGTCTATAACTAGCTTAATCATTAAAATCCTATTTGTTGGTATAAATACATTTGCAACGACCACATTTGTCCCCACTGAGTCTAAAGTTAGAACTCTGTGCGCACCTGCGATTTTAGTAAACGAAGTCACTGAGGTGAGAGATGTCCTGATGACACTCAAGTGAGTTATCAGATGCAGTTTTGTCTTGTTTTAGGGCCACCCTCAGCGACACAAAACATGTGCTCCAGTCCTTTGAGCCATCTCCCTGGCTCTATATTTATATGGGACCACCTGGAGCCTCACACATCCAAGATATAAACCCTACCCCTGGGCTACATCTCCGGCCTATCAGATCAGTTATCTAAGATTAATACACAAGAGACTGGAGTGATAATACAGCGAACAGGGCGTTTGCTTTGCATGCAGCTGACCAGGGTTCGATCCCCAGTACCCCATAATCCCACATGCTTCCCCGAACGCTGGGTTGCTCAGAATGCTCAGGGCATACTCCTGGCTCTGCACTCTGCACCCTTGGCACTGCTCAGGGGACCATATGGAATACCAGGGATCCAATATGGGTCGGCCACATGCAAGGCAAGTGCCCTACTACTCTCTGGCCTCCAGTTTTAAAGTGAGGAAATAGACTTCCGAGGGCTGAGCCGCTAGTCCAGGACCACATAATTGGTAGTAGAAGTGAGTTTAGTTCCAAGTTGTTTGACTTTGGGACCCCAAACTTTCAGCCTTCAGGTTTAGTGGCTAAGTCACAACCAGGTGGGAGTCAAAGGGACTTGAAGATGAACAGATGAGAGAGACCCCGGTGGCGGCTATTGGCTTCAGGCGCTCAGCCACAGATGGCCAGCAGGGGGCACTGCAGGTAGAAGCCCGGGTGCAGGGAGAGGCGCAAGTACACCCAGCTCAACCCTCAGCTCTGTACAAATAGCTATTCTGGGTTGCCCTTTTCTCTTCTCTAAAGGCGGGGAAAGGGGGGGTGAGGGGGGAAGCCCTTATTTCTAGTACTGATCATTTTCGAAAGGGAATTAGAATGGCTGATTTTATATTCTTTCCATAAATACTCCTCTTCTCATTATAGCATGCCCAACAATGATCCTCTTCAAATTAACTGGGCAGTAATTGCTGCAGAATCACCTTCAGAGAAACAGTGTAATAGGAAGAGTGGGTTTTCTCGGGTGTTTTTTCAGATAATGAGTTGAAAGGCTTCTGTTGCAAGGGGAAGATGGGAGTTTGGTCCCTGACAAAGTGGGCCCCCAAGAACTGCTTGGAGGTGCCAAAATAAAAGAACAGAATAGAATCTTAGTGCAATAAAATAGAACAGTCGTGAGATTTACAGCTCTCGGGGGCAAAGGAGAAAAAAGTAAGGATAGAATGATAGAACATTTAAGTTTGCATATTTATTTTATTTGCATGTATTTATTTAGGGCTGAAGCGATAACACAGCGGTAGGGCGTTTGCCTTGCACACAGCCAACATGGCCGACCCGAGTTCGATTCCTCCGCCCCTCTCGGAGAGCCCGGCAAGCTACCGAGAGCATCTCGCCCTCACGGCAGAGCCTGGCAAGCTCCCCGTGACGTATTCGATATGCCAGACACAGTAACAACAAGTCTCATGATGGAGACGTTACTGGGCCCGCTCGAGCAAATCGACGATCAACGGGAGGGCCTTTACTTACCTTACTTACTTACTATTTAGCTTGGGGGCACACCTGGTGGTGGTGAGGGCTTACTCCTGGCTTTGTGCTCAGGGAACACTCGTGGCAGTGCTCGGGGGATCATATGGGGTGCTGGGATCAAACCCAGGTCGGCTGTATGTGAAGTAAACATCCTATTCGCTGTACTGTACCAGCCCAGCCTCTTGTGTATTCATTTCAAATAATTGATCTGATAGGCCAGAGATGTGACTCAGTGGTACCAATTCAGGTTGGCTGCATGAAAAGCACATGCCCTACTCACTGTGTTATCACTCTGTACTATCACTCCAGCCCCCTTGTGATTTTAAATAATTGACCTGATAGCCAGAGATGTGGCTCAGAGGTAGAGGATATACCTTGCATGTTGTGAGGCCCTGGTCAATCCCTCACCTAGAAAAAAGAGAGTCAGGCAGATGGCTCAAACCTGGAGTACGTATTTTGCATGCTGAAGTCCTGGAACAACATGGTCCCCTGAGCACAGATCCAGGAGTAACAACCAGCACCACAGGGTGTGTCCCCAGGACCAAAATATATAAATAAATGGAAGGCCCTCCCGTTGATCATCAATTTGCTCGAGCGGGCCCAGTAACGTCTCCATTGGAGACTTTGTTGTTACTGTGTTTGGCATATCGAATACGTCACGGGGAGCTTGCCAGGCTCTGCCATGCGGGCAAAATACTTTCAGTAGCTTGCCAGGCTCTCCGAGAGGGGCGGAGGAATCGAACTCGGGTGGGCCATGTTGGCTGCGTGCAAGGCAAACGCCCTACCGCTGTGCTATCGCTCAGAGGAAAAACAAATTTACCCTAAATATGAAATTAGGATCTTCAAGTTGCTAAGAAGTATATCAAGATGGTCTACTATGAAAAGGTTGCCAGATCAGCATCATAATTTAATTTGTATTGGTTTGCAAAATCTATTATTCTAGTAAACTTTTAAAAAGAGAAAAATCCTATAGCTAGTCAAGTTAGTTTTAAAATTCAAGGAGGTAATAATAGCTGGAGATGATCACACTGGACAAGTACTGAGTGTTAGAAATAGGTAAGAGGATATACCGGATAACCTTTCAGTATCTGTACTGCAAACCACAGTGCCTAAAAGGGAGAGAGAGAGAGAGAGAGAGAGAGAGAGAGAGAGAGAGAGAGAGAGAGAGAGAGAGAGAGAGAAGAAAATTTCCTGATAGAGGCAGGCTGGGTGGGGAGGGGGGAAGTGATGGGAGGGAAGCTGGTACAATGGTGTTGGAAAATGTACAGGTGGAGGGATGGGTGTTGAAACACTGTGTTTGTAAAGATCTATCTCACAGTGATTCAATAATAAACTCCTTAAAAAATAAATAAATGGATAAAATTTAAGGTGGGGGCAGGCTTACCTTGCACGTGGCCAACCTGGGTTCTATTCCCGGTATCTCATATGGTTCCCCAAGACCAATAGGACTGAAACCTGAATGCAAAGCAAGAAATAACCTCTAAACACTGCCATGTGTGCCCCCTCCAAAAAACTAAAATAAAATTATTCAAGGGGGCCAGAGAGAGAGCTCAAATGTAGGAGGCCTGAGTGTGATCCCTAGCATCACATCATCCCCTGAGCATGGCTGAGAGTGAGCCTTGAGCACAGAGCTTGGAGTAGCTCTCTACCAGAGCCAGGTATAGCTACCCCTAAAAAATCCATCACCGTATCACTGTCATCCCATTGATTGTCGATTTACTCGAGCCGGCGCCAGTCACATCTCTATTCATCCCAGCCCTGAGATTGTAGCAGCTCTCCTTACTTGTCTTTCTTAATGATTGGAGGCTCTTTCAGGGTCAGAGGAATGAGACCTGTTAGAGTTACTGTTTTTGGCATATCGAATACGCCATGGGGAGCTTGCCAGGCTCCGCCTGTGAAGGCGGGATACTCTTGGTAGCTTGCCAGGCGCTCCGAGAGGTGTGTGTGTGTGTGTGTGTGTGTATATATATATATATATATATATATATTTCTCTCTTTGATTTGTTGCCTACTATCTGAACTCCATCAAACATGGTGTGGTAATTATGCAAAATGGGTATGAAGTGTCTTATGATGTATCCGAAAAGTGGCCTGGAGCATGGCTGCAGTTGGGTAGTGGATGTCGGCTGCCGGGGCTGGGTCCCTTGGGGCAAGGAGGGCTCTCGCCCACTCCCCTCTAGGGTGCCTGAGCGAAAACAGCCTGGCATATTGTCCAATGGCATGGTTACGGGGGCCTCATTTTATACTCCTGTCTGGGAGGAGCAGCCGTGAGTTCTGGAGGGTGGTGGATGAGGAGATTATCTGGCGCCTGCAGGGAGTGGCTTATGGGTGTGAGCCCTGGGTCACTAGAGACTGGGGGAAACAGGCAGAGGATCTCTGCTCCTGGGTCCTGTTGAGTCCAGAGTCCAAGGTCACAAAGTTCCACATTACCTGGGTTCCGTGGGACTTTACTCCTGTGTGAGGCTTGGGTCGAGTATCCAGAAGGCAGCATGGAGCATGGTGGCCGTTGGGTAGTGGAGGTTGGCTGCCAGGGCTGGGGCCCTTGGGGCAGGGAGGAGTCTCTCCCGCCTTCTCTGGGGTGCCCCACGTGAAAACAACCTGGCACAGAGTCCATAAAAAATGCATAATAATCATAAAAAATTATTACAGACTGAAATCATGGTGATGCATACATAGATCATGCCCGTGTGCATCAACTTTAAATAATGGAGAACTCAGTGGAGTATGTCTGAGCTTGTCGTCACAAAACGCCAGTACAAACATGGGAATGTATTTTCTCATAGGTCTGTTTCTGTTTTCTCTCTTATTCACACAAAGGTGATCTTAAAAGACGTGGACTCCCTTCTCTATGTGGACACTGACGTTCTCTTTCTGAGACCTGTCGATGACATCTGGAAGCTTCTGAGACAATTTAATTCTACCCAGCTTGCGGCCATGGTCCCTGAGCATGAAATCTCCAAGATTGGCTGGTACAGCCGCTTTGCACGCCATCCTTTCTATGGTTCTGCAGGAATTAACTCAGGAGTCATGCTCATGAATCTAACGCGGATAAGAAGTGCCCGATTCAAGGTAAGGAAGTATTTTATATTTTCTTGTTTAAAAATGCAGGCTTGGGACCAGAGAATTAATACAGGGGCTTAGGCACTTGTCTTGAGTGTGGCCAACCTTAATCCTATCCCCAAGCACTACTGGGAGTTAGCCCTGAGAACAGCCTTCTGAGTATAAACCGTAGGCCTCAGTTTCATCCCCTCTGCATCCGTATGCACCTGACCAGCGCTAACTTCCCCCACTCATCTTCCTGTGTCCAAGGCCTTGAGGCCAGAAGGACCCTAGTTCAGTTGTTTCATTCTGGGCAGGGAGCAAGGGGTGGCTGGGGGCTGGGGCCAGGGGGAGGGGAGGGGAGAGGGAGGCGTGGTTCAGGCTCCCAGTGGCTCTTCCACATGTGTGGATGTGCTGATTTGGCCTCAGCCATTCTGATGCTTTTCTCTTTTCCAGAACAGCCTGATTCCAGAACGCCTGGCTTGGGAGGACATGTTGTATCCTCTGTACCAAAAATATAAGAACACCATCACGTGGGGAGACCAGGACTTATTAAATATCATATTTTATTTCAATCCAGGTAGGATCTCATGTGAGAATGCTGATTAGGGTGGGTTAGGGCGCCCACGGCCCCCCAGAGCACATTCCAGCCTGGCCAGTCATTCACTGACTTGAATTGGGCCTGTGTTCCTGCCAGGCCGGGTGACACCCGCCCAGGGGCCTTTCAGAGGGGGGGGCCTGAATCGCCGACACAAAAAGCCAAATGTTGAAACCTCCAACACTGGACTCCTTTTAGTTTTTTGTATTTATATTAATTTATATTAATTATATTTTGTAGACAAAATTTATATTAATGTAGGCAAAAGCCACTACTGTTGATACAGTTCCAGAGTTGAAATTGATTAGATAACAGAGCTCCATTATTCAATAAGTATAAAAACATCAACTTTTATTTTTTTGGATCTGTATTTTTTATTTCTTGGCTCTTTTCATTTTTTTTTTATTAGTGAAACACCATGAGGTACAGTTGTAGATTTACAATTTTTTGTGCTTGGGTTTCGATTATACAATGATCAGATACCCATCCCTCCACCAGTGCCCATTTTCCACCACCATGGATAATATCCCTCCCACCCCCATCCCCCCATCCCCCCTGTCTCTGTGGCAGGGCAATCCCCTGTGTTCTCTCTCTCCTTTTGGGTGTTGTGGTCTGCAAAAGAGGCATTGAGTGGCAAACATGTTCAGTCCATAGTCTACTTTCGACATGCATCTCCCCTCCTGGGAGGATCCTCCAAACATCCTTTATTTGGTGCTCCCTTCTCTATCTGAACAGCCCTTTCCTCTAGGATTCCCGGCTGGCCTCTAAGTTATGGAGTAATCCTCCTGGTGCTGATCTCAGCTATTCTTGGGTATTAATCTCATACTTTGTTACTTTATATCCCCCAGGTGAATGCAATCTTTCTATGTCTATCCCTCTCTTTCTGACTCATTTCGCTTAGCATGATACTTTCCATATTGTACCACTTGTATGTAAATTTCATGACTTCATCTTTTCCAAGAGCTACATAGTACTCCATTGTGTAGATGTACCAAAGTTTCTTTAACCAGTCATCTGTTCTTGGGCATTCAGGTTTCTTCCAGTTTCTGGCTATTGTAAAGAGTTCTGCAATGAACAAACAAATGCAGATGTCACTTTGACTACACTTTTTTGCCTCTCTGGGATATATTCCCAGGAGTGGTATTGCTGGGTCAAATGGGAGCTCAATTTCTAATTTTTTGAGAATCGTCCATACTGTTATCCAGAAGGGCTGAACCAGTCGATATTCCCACCAAAGTGAAGGAGGGTCCCTTTCTCGCCACGTCCGCGCCAGCACCCGTTGCTTTTGTTCTTGTGGATGTGGGCCAGTCTCTGAGGTGTGAGATGGTATCTGATTGTGGTTTTGATCTGCATCTCCCTGATGATTGATGAAAAACATCAACTTTTTTTAATGTGAAAATCGTTATGTATCTGATCACGGGGTTGTTAAGTCCTTGTCTAAGAGTTTGTTCAGCTGCTTGTTGCTAGTTGAGCCTTCTTTGTGATTGGTTTCGTGTGTTTGTTTTTTGTTTTTGAAGTAAAAACAGATTTTATTTGGAGGTTTTTAGGAAGGGGAAGGAGGGAGAGAAAGTGAGAGCAACATGCTCAAGAGAGAACCCAGCTTCTCCAAAAGCGGAGAGAGCCCCTACACACATCCAGCATTAGGCAGGAAAGCATGAAAGTACACATCTCAAGAGGGGAGATGCAGGCGACACATGTGCTCGGCCACGTGGGCACAAGCAGCACATGGGCTGTGATTGTTTTTGTTTGTTGAGTTTAGTTGCTTTGATGTTACTTTCCCACCTAAATGTTGTGCTCCGACTAGAACTTCAGTATTGAAGAATTAGGAGGTGTTGCAGCCCCATACAGCTGTGCGGTTCAGAGACTTCTGGATCTGTGGTCTGAATGAACTGACCTGGCGGTGGATATGGGAGGTGGGCACGGCTGCCCAGGCTTCTGGAAGTATGGGAGGGAGGGGGTGGGGGAACTGGCCACCTGACTCCGAGGAGACACCAGAATTTTCAACCTGGGTGCTGGGTACCTGAAATTATTGGCAGTTTGGCATCTCTGCAGAGAATATTAGTGGAGTGGTGGAGTTGAGTCCTTGGCATGGCTGCAGTGTGTGTGGGGGTGAGGGGAGGGGTGGTGGGTACAGCTTTCAGGAGTCAGGACTTCATCAGGGCAGGTACATGTCCCCTTTCCCCCGCCTCTTGAGGTCTCCCTTAACTCTGTTTAGTTCTTGATTTGCTTGTTTGTCTTCTCTGTTCCCTTCCCTTGGCTCCTGTTGAGATGCACAGTGCTTGATGGGGCTGTTCTCCTGGCCCAGGTGCCGTCACACACCCTGGCTGGGCACCAGGCATTGCTCCATCCAGGGGGCAGCATCACTGGGGTTGAAGACCTACATGCACGTGGGCAGCACCAGGATCCAATTTCCAGCCTCAGACTCGCAGTGTAGGTGCTTCTGCCGACAAGTCCCTCCAACTTCCCGGGATTCCGTGTTTTTTGTGTCTTTTTAATTTAATCACAATATTCTTCTAAGAAGGACAGTCAAAGTGAGTAGGATGGGACCAGAGCAAAAGGACAGCAGATGAGCTTGCTCTTCAGGCCCGTGTTCTCCCTTGAACACATATCTCACTTGCTACTCTAAAGAAGCCCGTGTTCTCAAACACTTCTTCCTCTCCCCTCATATCTTTCTAAATAAGTTTCAATTAAAAAATTACCTTGCTTTTTCAAGAAAGAAAGAAAGAAAGAAAGAAAGAAAGAAAGAAAGAAAGTTAGTTCAATAGGTAGGGCTCTTGCTTTGCACGCAGCAACCTGGGTTTAATCCCCAGCACCCCATATGGTCCCCAGAGCCCCATGAGAGTGATCCCTGAGTGCAGAGCCAGGAGTAAACCCTGCATACGACCAGATGGGGCCCCAAACCCAAACAAACAGAGGTCCTGTTAGTCTTGACGCTGGATAGATTTCAATTTCAGGTTTCACCTCAGCAACTGTCCCTGTCACATCACACCCAGAGCAGATGTCCCGTTCCCATTATCTACCTCCCAACCTGCCTTCTCCATGTCTCAGACCCCTCACCTTCCCTGCTGCCATCTACCATTCTACTGACAGATTCTAAGGGTTTGTTTCTGTGTTGTTTGTTCATTGGTGTTTGTTTTTTGTTTTTTGTTTTTTAAATATTCCACCCATAAGAGAAAACAGACCAGGTTGGTCTTTCTCCTTCTGAGTCATTTCATTTAACAGCATCGCCCCATGACCTCCCCATGTTACTGTAAAGGGCAAGGTTTTCCTCCTTGTTAAGGCTGAGCATTGGCGCTAGAGTGATAGTATAGTGGGTAGGGTATTTGCCTTGCAGATGGCCGACCCCGGGTATCCCCGGCATTCCATATGGTCCCCCGAGCACTGCCAGGAGTGATTCCTGAGAGCCAGGAGTAACTCCTGAGCATGGCTAGTGTGACCCCAAAAGACCTAGCATTGCATCACCTTGGTCCAAGTGTCTACACTCAGCAGTGTTCAGGGGCTACTCCTGGTTCCTTGCTAGGGGTCATTCCCAGTGGTGCTCTGGGGACCATGCTGTACCAAGGATTAAGCCTCAGACTTCCGTATGCAAACCATGCATTTCATCCCTCTGAGCCAGTTCCCTAGTCACCTATTATTTCTTCTATAAACAAGACTCTGAAATTAAAAGCTAATAATAACAAAAACTGACTCAAAGGACCAGAATGGTAATATTGAGGGTAGGATGCTCATCTGGCATGAGACAAACCCAGATTTGGTCCCAGTATCCCACATGGTCCTCTGAACCCCACCAGGAGTGATTCCTGAGTACAGAGCCAGAAGTAACCCCTTAACACTGCCAGGTGTGCCCCCCCCCCATCAAAAAAAAACACAAATCCTGGGTAGGGGTGTGGATGATCAAATCCTAAAAAATATAAAAAGTAAATTGATAATGGAGTTTCTGGAAAGGATTCTTAGTATAAAGTCATGAACTGGAAGGCATGTTAGCCTCTCACTAATGGCATGTTTTACTAGATTCCATTGTAACAGTAACAGTTAGTTTCAAGTTGCCTTTTCTTCTAAAAGCAGATTTCATTATTTTCCAGATGTAGGTATATTACTTAGCATATTTTCATACAAATAAATTATCCTGGAGTTTGTCAAGTGTAGAAGATACTTTTAATAATAATAAGCACATTGGTAGGGACGGGAGCTGTAGCTCTTTGGGCTGGAGCTTTTGCTTTGCATGCAGAGCTATAGGTTCAATCTACCACCTCATGGTCCCTTGCCCCATCAGGAACCGCCCCTGAGCACCGAACCAGGAAGAGCCCCCTAGAGCTGCTGAGTAAGGCCCCAAAACAAGCAAAGCAGGCTTCACATCGAAATCCAGGCAGCAGAGAGAAGGCTGGCAGCTTCAGCTGGGGGTCTGCAGCAGGAAAGAGGCACCAGGAAGAGTCTCACATGCCCTTCTCTCACCGAGGCTGTCTTTCCTGTCTTTGAAAGGATCCTCACTCTCTGTTCCTTAGCCCCAAAGCCACAGACCAAGGGTTCATTCCAGGTGCAGCCACACAGAAGGAATAACTCCACCCCAGTTCCAGCAGAGAGACCGGTTGGTTTCAGCCTGAGCCAGGTCAGGAGTGTGGAGCTATAGAGTCATTGCTGAAATATCTGATGTACCAAGTGCCAAGCGCTCTCCTAAGCTTGGTTTTTTTCTCCATCCTCATAACATCCATTTCACAGATAGAGGTATCAGGTGAAAGAAGGTAGATATCGTTTGCTGCATAGCTAATGTGTTCCAGAGTAAGGATCTGTATAATCCTGTATTTGAGGGGCAGGAAAGTTCTGAACTGGATTCTGGGAAACTTAGTGAAGGCGTTCTCTCCTTTAAGTGTTGATGTTTTCACTCTATTCTGTGGCTGAAACGTTCTTCCCAAGCCGTATTCCCAAACCAAGGAATTCGAAAGATATGCACGGTTGAGTGCCCAGGACCCCTCTGATCCAGTTGC